ATGGGGCCTCACTGCGCGGCCTGGTATTGATCCGCCGGTAAACATCGCCGCGCCACAGACGGTGCGACACCTGGCAAGTAGGCATCCGGATGCGGAGAGGCTGGTCCCGCAAACTGTCTACCGACCTTCGTCGGCTGTGCAGCTGCGCGCGGGACACGCTTCGCAGGCGACGCCCATATCGCCCATCATGTTCTATATCCACGGTCCGCGGGGTTGCGGAATCAGTTGCAACGACGCGCTCAATGGAAGATTCGCGGGGTTGCAGGATCCAGACGCTCTCGTTGAGTGTCCAAGGTCCATGATGCTGAGAGTCATGGTGCGTGTGTATCCAAGTTCGCACCCGTGTCGAGCTTGGCGCTGACGAGAGCACGACGCGCCTAGTGGCCTGATTACGAACCCTGGTCGGCCACTATCCTCCTTCACCCCGGAACGTCTCGAGCAGACTTAGCGATGTGCGTCAGCCTCTACGCGCAAAGGTTCCTCGACGTATGTCCCTCTCCGATGTTTTGAGCCTCGCGCGCGTCTCAACACGATCTGCAGGAGTCACTGACGAAGTGTCTGAGAGATGATACGCGCTGGAGGCTGGGGCCCGGTGCCATCACACTTTCTGACCTCGAGCTGGTCGGTCTGCAGCCCGTGACTGCACGAGATTGGCAGGTCCACTTCCGGGTGCGTCAGGCGACGCTTCAAGCAGTCTAAGTTGCATGGTCCATTGTTCGGGATCCCCCAAACCCCAGTTTCCGGGTCAGTTTTGCGTATACCTCCGTAGCATACTTCATCTCGTGGGTGTAGAATGGGACGCACCCTGCCCTTATCGTTGTCCATCCTATTATCCGTGCTGCGCTATGCGTGCTGAACACGTTCCCATGGTCGGCATGATGGGGCTGGATATTGAAGATGACACTGCCGCCTTTGTTCGGTTGATGGATGGTCAATTCCTAGATTTGCCTCGGGCAGGCCACCTCGAGAGAGGCAATCACGAATAGCACCGGCTACGCTAAGTATCCGGAAACAATAAGCGCCTATATGTTAACTCTCGTTGTACCGTCCTCCGCACACTTTTAGATTGTTCCTAAGAACAAAACAAGCATGGTAGTTTTTTTCCTGCGAATTTCGGCGCAGTATTGACCCCTACACGGTTTTGAAGACGGCAGGCGAGGGCGGGAGCGACGCGCCTCGGGAATTTCCGGTGAGTGCGCGGTGTCCGTCAGTGATACCTCACCCTCTCCGTACGACCACCACCTCGCACAAGCCCCTTAGTAAATCTCTACTCGCACAAATATTACGTAATGCCAAGTGCACGATTTCGCTGAGACTGCTAAGGTGCGGACACTGCGTGCCTACCGCACATTTCCATGCTCGAAAGCACCGCCGCCATCCGCACGCACACGGCACGGCAGGTGCGAGGCGCAGCAAACACGCCTCTATGAACGTGACCAAGCGACCTCAGCTTTAATCGTGCCAGCATGGACAGTTCCGTAGCGGGGGTATAGCTGCCGGTGAGTCTTGCACGCACGTCGTGGACATTGGGTCTATCATTGACTGCCCCTCTTCGCTGGCCCTCACAGGTACGATCGATGCGCAATGGCAAACACGGAGTGCGACGAGAATGTTACTCCAGAAGGCCAGCACTTTCGAGCCCCCTACGTTGCCGACGCAAGGCGTCAAGATCTGGAGAACCCCACAAGCTTCCAGTGCAGACGGTGTGATAATCGATTCATGAGCCAAGAAATGGCAATATTGCACGACGAGATGGAACACACGAGAGCACCTGTACATCGCCAAAGTACCGAAGTACGTGAGAAGAAGTCCACCACTACTGGCGTCGGAGGTTTACGCATGGTTGCATTACAGGCGTCTAGTAAGCCTTCCGGCGAGCCCGTAAGGAGCCCTGGATTACGGAGTATTTATCAGGTACGTTTTTACTCCGATACTCGTTTAGATAGCAAGATTCACTGCGTTTATGCAGCAAACCTCAGCCCTTATCGCCAACGATGTCCGTCGTTTATTGGACAGGAACCACGATATACACGCCGCCCGTTCTGCGTATGTCTCGGCTTGAATCGATTAACTGGTTGATACTGACTCCGCACAGATACAACTTACTTTTAGCGTTAGAGCACCTGTGGCAGTCGGCCCCAAGTTGTGCCGCTTTGCTGGCCAAAGCGATACCACAACGTTCAAAACTGGTTGAAGTACGTTTCCGCGCGCAAGGCAATAGTTGAATTGGCGTTAACATTGTTCAGCTTTCGTCCAAGTTACCATGCCGTCAAGGTCCCCTTTGGAAAGCTCTTGATAGTGACGACCGCTCGGTCCTCAGGATGCTCCGGCAGGCTATATTCTCCGAGAAAGAAGAGATCATGAGGCTACGCGGGGACAGTGCGGCTTCCTTCCTGACTCTCGTCGACTTGGTAGGTGCTACCCTTGCGCATGTCTCTCCTCCATAAAATTCACTCTCAGCCTCGGCAGATTCTGTATCCTAGTGGTCTCGGACAGGATCTCCGATTCTCTCAGCTGCTGACCGCTGCGCTGGATACAGGCGTGCAAGCCTTCAGAAGCCAGCTGCAGCGTGCCAGTGTAAGGCTATCGATGGCCTCGTTTCAACTCCCGGAGGGTTTGTACCTCACAGGCGTCGCCCTAATGGACTCAGAGCACGTTGCTACTGGGGCATACGCTGACGTTCGCATGGGCCGATATCTCGGGCGCCTAGTGGCACTGAAGACGATGCGAGTTTTCAGCCGACAGAAACCCAACGAGCTACACAAGAGCCAGAAGGTAGTGCCAAGAATGACTACCCTTCGTGAGCCGTTGCTTATCCATCGCTTCAGACATTTTGTCGCGAGATCTCGCTATTGCACGGCCTCGACCACCAAAACATATGCGGACTCATTGGCGTTGACCGCGCATTATTTGGCGGACGTTTCTGTCTGGTGATGGATTGGATGCCGCATGGGAACGTCATTGACTTTATTCGGGCCAACTCTTTTGTTCTCGGTGAAGTTGAACAGCTCGTGCGTCTTCCAATAGTTATCAAAGACGTATGGCTTTTGACCGTGGTGCAGGTGATGGAGATAGGCCTGGCGTTAGAATACCTACATAGCAAGAATGTGGTCCATGGAGACCTGCATGTGGTTCGTTCACAATTTCTATATCTATGACTCTATCTTAAATCTTATTCTAGAGAAACATTCTTATCGACGCTGGCCGTCACGTCCGTCTTGCAGACTTTGGATTGTCAGATTTCTCCGACGCATCCTCTGCCAGCGTCAGCTCCGCGTCTATTGGTGCGGTTCGATTTATGGCGCCCGAAATTTTGGACCCGGAGAGATTTGATTTACAGCGCGTGCAGCACACTCCCAAAAGCGACATCCACTCATTTGCGATGTGTGTTTGGACGGTGAGTACAGTCTCATCTATCAGATGGACTTCCAGCTGATCACGTGTCTCTGGACCAGATCTTTGATGGCAATGCCCCATTCCACGATTACTTAGCAGTCAAGGCTACGTTGGCGATTATCGAAGGCAAGCGCCCCTCGCAGCATACAGCCATGCACCCTCTCCCGTCACCTTTATGGTCTCTACTGAATCTTTGCTGGCAAGAGCAGCCGAGAGATAGGCCCAGCTCTCCGGATCTCTGCCTTCGCCTTCAGCACATATTCAACTCTCCCGCTTCCGCTTTATCGACGTCCCGTTCAAAGACGAAAGGCCTCAGCAGCGAAAGATCGAGCCCAGCACCCTGTCTGCGCGAGGACGATTCTGATAACGAGTCAACCGCTGGCATCTGCAACGAGAGCGACGATGGCGGACTCAACCCGCGTCAAACACTGCAGCGGAGCCGCGGCGTGCAGTCCACCAGATGCACGCCTGTCGCGAAGTCCAATTTGCTGAACATCCCGCTACCGAGCCCAGTTGAGCGTCCGCGCACCAGTCCGGCAGTCATACAAAGCTCGGTGCCGCCAACCGTCCGCAACCTGGCTAGCGTCTATCCTGATGCGGAGCGCCTTGTCCCCCAGATTATATATCGACCCCCGCAGGCTCAGCGGCTGGCCGGCGCGAACGCGTCACCTATTATGTTTAATGTCTTTGGTCCGCAGGGCTGTGGGGTCAGCTGCCTCGATGCGCTCAACGAACGGTTCACGGAGTTGCAAGATCTAGACGACATCATTGAGTGTCAGAGGTATATGGTCCTGAGGATTATGGTGCGTGTATATACAGGCCGCATATTCATCAACAGCGGAACTTACGGGAGTGTGGTACGTATAGTGGCCTGATTACGAGCCCTGGTCGGTCCGTATCCTTCTTGACTCCAACATCACCCGGGCGAATCTAGCGACGCGTGTCAGTTCCTGCACGCAGACTTTTCTAGACGTATGTCTCTCTGTCAAGATCCTCCGCGCTTCCATTGATGCAATCTACAGGAATCGCTGACGAAATGTTTAAGACCTCACACTCGCTGGAGGCTGGGGCCCGGTGCCATCACACTATCTGATCTCCAATTGGTCGGTCTGCAACCTGTGGCTGCGCAAGACTGGCAGGTTCATTATCGGGTGCGCCAAGCGGCACCTCTGGTAGCCTAAGCCGCATGGACTTTCGAAACTATCATATCTTGGTATCTTTATTGTTTTTATACGCCATTCTTCGACATTACTCCTGCAGTTGCCACTACGCCGGTTACGATCAGTCTACATGAAAATTTATGCGCACGGAGCTGTACAATCACATATGACTATTCGCTGTCTATAATCAAATTCAAAGTTGATTGGTTGCATAAGCTCCAGTCTGCTTCTCAGTTTAGCTCTGCATAAAGCCAACGGAAGATTGTTCTTATGCAACTTACCGTTTTAGGGCATGTTTACTGGGAGAAAAGGCGTGGCTATTGTCCAATAACATATGCTTAGAGCGCGATCGATGAGTCTGGTGGCTCGTGAGGGAGCACGTCGCGAGCGTTATTGTCAGTTGCAGACGTTGCTGGCTCTCTGAGTGAGCACTGAGCAGGGGGCAGCTACAAATCGCGCCCTACTGCAATAAAGGTGCCCAGACTGTTCGGTACTCAGGTACGGGTCTTCCTTCTTTATCGATGTCGATGTCATGTCCTTGAGGCTCCCCCCTAGGCGTGGGGTGGATTCGCCAGGGAAATTGCTATGCATCGCGCTTTGAGCCATGATCACGTATACGTCCTTCTCGGCACAGTCCATCCCGCGGCAAATAGAAGAATGGGCTTGGTCATTCCTTGGGCACGGCACGGCAATATCTTGCAGTATTTCGATCTGCACGGATGGAGCGGCATCGAAGCCTTGCGGTTCGTGAGTCGCTCACCGACTTTGTCTTATGGACCACACTAATATATCTAAGCTTACTGAGATACTCTCTGCTCTCTGCTCTCTCCATAGGGAAGATCTCGTCATTGTGCACCGGAATCGACTACATCCGGTGTGTTGGCCCATTTCTTCGGCTTGACCCGAGACTTCGCTGACGTTCTTCACAGGGCAGCGTTCTCATAGACGATGATATGCATGTCCGCCTGGTTGATTTCGGGCTTTCCGTATTCGCCGGCACAGACGATTCTTCGCCAAACGACAGAGTCAAAAATTCAACTCGCTATATGCCGGCTGAGGTACTCCGTCTGAGCCTTTACGCGCGTGATAGCAAACATAACATGACCGCAAATGATATATATTCTTTCGGGATGGTCTGTTGGCACGTGCGTTCGCCGCATATAAAGTTCCGGAGACCGCATGACATCTCCTTTGCAGATATACACAGGTCTCGCGCCATTTCACAATGTCCACGAGAGCCAGATCCCGTTCGACATTGTCGACGGGAAGCAACCTCTGCGGCCGTCATCACCTCGGCCGATACCAGACTTCTTGTGGGAAGTCATGGAAGCCTGTTGGCTGTTTCGGTCGACCGACCGACCCTCCGCCTCGAGCTTATACTCCAGGCTCCAGGCTCATCTTCCGGCTTTTGCACCGTAATTAGGTCATGTCTGAGCATGTGCGTGCGTTTATCGAAAGCACTCCGTGTTACGCGGAGACTGGACGTGAGTCGCCTTCTCTGTAGTTCATTCACCGAGTCGTAGCACTGTCCTCGTCAGCACCCAGCGTGCACTCATGTTTAGTGGCTCCTCTGGAGCGGAGCACAGCTTAGCGTAGCTGTAGGCTGCACGAACGTTACATCTCATTAGGTCGCCCTTCCGAAGTGGTAGCGTCAGCTGAAAAGCGGATTGTAATGTGAATACATTATTTACTTTATTAACAGATGAAGCGTTCGGAATGCTTGCATGCCTAAGAATCTTTAGATTCTGCTTGACTTCGTCCGTCTCGTCAAGGTTCCAGATTCACTGGCAGGTGGCAGAACATCCAGAAGTAGTCGCGGCAGATGGAGGTGCGTCTTGTATACGCGCGGTATATGTAGCTCCTCCATGAACGGGTACGACGACATCAGCACGCGATCGCAGCAAGGACCGCACGAGCGAGAATGTCGTAGTCGAATGTGGTTCGGGCGGCGTTACGACACTCGTTGTTGACGCATCTCGGGGCTGCAGCGCGTCGAGCTCTGCTTACCAAGTTGGGGTGCTTCCAGATTCGCCAGAACTGTTGGGATCGAGGATACAACAAAGTGGCAAAACGTGGAGGGTGATGTCGTACAGCTGCTGCCGAGTCTGCGCCCAGTACGTGAAGCCGACGCTGTGCATAGCAGTAACTTCTTTTTGGTCTTGACACTCGAGCAGAGCAGGGTCACGCACCGCATGAAGATGGCCTTTTCGCACGTAGACAACGATCAGCTCTATTCACACGGACGGGTAGAGGGGGAAATGCGCACCTCGACGTCGGCGCCCCCACTGTCCGTCCGGTCAAGGAGAAGGTGGCTGAAGGGTAGCGTACTGGTGTAGCGAGCATGTGGCAGACAGGGATTTGAAGCGGAGCCTGCGGAGGAGCTTCGCTTGCCGAGCAAAGTTGTTCCAGTTTTGCATATGACCACCGCCTCGTGCACGTTATACATGTCTGCTTTCCACTCCCTATCCATACACAGGATTCAAATGCTACTCGTACTGGATGCACATGCCCAGACATACTTGGTACCGACAGCGCGTACAATAGTCGCGCGTTCGCATTTCCATCACCCGCACACGGCAAACACGAGGCAGACCGAGGCATGCATTTATAAACATGGACTCTGCCTCACCCGTGACAGCATGAGACCTGTAGCTGACCTGTAGCTCCTGGTGAGTGCTACACTGTCGCAACAAACCCGCCATTGACCACTCCCTACTGCTCAAGAGCCATGGCACAGGTGGTAAACGACGAAGGTCACAATCGAAAGGATCGAAACCTTGCTCCCCGCAACGTCAGCATATGGCGTCAAGACCAAGAGGCAGCCACGAGCTTCCGCTGCAGAACGTGCCACAGGCAATTCACGAGCCAGGAGATAGCAACGCTGCACTCTCAGATGGAGCACCCGAGCGTGTTTGCAAGCCACTGTGATACTCAGGTACGTGATCAACAAATCGTCGTCTAGAGCGTGCTTTCATACGTCTCGATCTCCTAGTCCCTAATCGAGTCCCTTGTTGAGTCCGTAAGAAGCCCCGGGTCACGGTGCATCTACAAGGTATGCGCCTACTATAATGCTCATCTGGATAGCCAGGATCACAAGTGAATCATGCAGCGAACCGCAGCACTTGTTGCGAATGACATTTCCGATTTGTTAAAGCGGAACGAACGCATGGACATTGTTCGCTCTACGTATGTTCAGGAGTTGAATCGGTCATCGTCAGTAACAGCCACTTACTCCCTCACAGATATGACTCGCTTCTAGAGCTAGAGCGACTATGTAGATCTGCCTCAAGTCGTGTTGCCCTGTTAACCAAGACGATACCACAACGTGCAAGGCTGGTAGAGGTAAGTGCCTAGGCGCGCAGATCGGACACCGCTGAAGGTTGATCCAGCTCTCTCCTGAGCTACCATGCCGTCGGGGTCCACTGTGGGAAGCCCTCGAGATTGACGACCACTCTATCCTCACAATACTTCAACTAGCCGTATCTTGCGACAAAGACGAGATCATGGGGTTACGCGAGAACAGCGCGGCATCCTTCTTGACTCTCGCTGATTCGGTACGTGTCGTTCCCGCGAACGTTCCTGTTTAGTCACTCATTCGCGGTAGGTCTTGTACCCCGATGAACACGGGCATTACTTTGGACTATCTCATTCGCCAGCTCCCGCACTGGAGACTGACTCGGTAGGTTTCAGATACAACCTGCGACGCATCAACGTCAGGCTGTCCATGGCCTCATACCAGCTCCCGGAGGGCTTGTACCTCACAGGCGTCACTTCGATGGATCGAGAGCAAGTCGCTGTTGGGGGCTACGCTGATGTCCGCAAGGGTCAATATTGCGGGCGCCTCGTGGCACTGAAGACAATGCGGGTTTTCAGTCGACAGAAGCCCGACGAGCTATCCAAGATTCGGAAGGTGAGTTCGACAAGAGCACCCATTCTTTCCAATTATTCATTTGTTCAACGTAGACATTCTGCCGCGAGATCTCGCTGCTGCACGGCCTCGACCACCGCAACATATGCGGGCTAATAGGCACTGATCGCGAACTATTCGGAGGACAATTATGTCTGGTTACAGAATGGATGTCGCATGGAAGTATTATGGATTTTATCGAAACCAAGTCGTTTGACCTCGGCGAGGTCAAACAATTCGTGAGTGCACCAGTATCTGTTAAAAGTGCATGACATGTGACATCGAAGGCGCAGGTAATGGGGATAGCTCTGGCGTTGGAATACCTGCACGGCAAGAATGTGGTCCATGGAGATCTGCATGTGGTGCGTTCGCACTCTCTATCTGTTATGCTATCGTGAACACTGTCCTAGAGAAATATTCTCATCGATGCCAGCTGCGAGGTCCGCCTCATAGACTTCGGGCTGTCAGATTTCTCAGATGCGTCTTCTGCCAGTGTTAGCTCTGCAGCCCCTGGTGCGACCCTGTATATGGCGCCCGAGATCTTAGACCCGGAGAAGTACGGTCTGCAGCATGTGCGACACACCCCTAAAAGTGATATTCACTCGTTCGCGATGTGTGTATGGACAGTGAGTACAGTCCTGTTCTAGATTCGCTTTCAGCTGATCATACGTCCCTGAAATAGATTTTCGATCGCAAGACTCCCTTCCACGGTTATTCAAAGGCTAGGGCCATAAAGGCTATCATCGAAGGCGAGCGCCCCCTGCAGAATACAGTCCGACACCCGGTCCCGCCACCGTTGTGGTCTCTATTAGAGCTCTGCTGGCAAGAGCAACCAAGAGACAGGCCCAGCTCGTTAGACCTCTACCTTCGCCTTCGGCGTATGTTTCAGCCCCCGGCTTCCGCCCCGTTGAGATCCCGCTCCAGAATAAAAGGCCTCAGCAGCGGGAGATCGGGTCTAGCATCTCGTTTGCGCGAAGACAATTCCAATAACGAATCAACAAGTGGCAGCAGCAACGGGAGCGACGATGGTGGACTCACCCCGCAGCCAACACTGCGGCTGAATTGTGGCATGCAGTCCGCCAGAAACACGCGCGTCGCGAAGTCCAAGTTGATGATCACTCGGATATCGAGCCCTATTCAACGTCCGCGCAACCCAGCGCCCGAGAGAAGCTCCACGCCGCCAGTCACAACTGTCCGCAATCTGGCAAGCGTCCACACTGGTGCGGAGCGTCTCGTCCCCCAGATTATATATCGACCCCCGCAGACTCAGCAGCTGGCCGGCGCGAACACGTCACCTATCATGTTCAATGTCTGGGGTCCGAGCGGTTGTGGTATCAGCTGTCTCGATGCGCTCAATGAACAGTTTTCGGAGTTGCAAGATTCGAACGACATCATTGAGTGCCCGAGGTGCATGGTCTTGAGGATTATGGTACGTGCTCATGCAAATTCGTGATCTGCCGGCCGCAGTATTGACGAGAAGGACAATGCATATAGTGGCCTGATTACGAGCCTTGGTCGGTACTCATCATTCTTCACTCCGACACCACTCGAGCGGATCTGGCCACGCGTGTCAGTTCCTACACGCAGACATTCCTAGACGTATGCCCCTCTCTATCTAGGACTCTCCGCGCTCTCGTTGACGCGATCTACAGGAATCGTTGGCGAAATGTTTGAACCCTAACACTCGCTGGAAGCTGGGGCCCGGTGCCATCACACTGTCTGACCTCGAACTGGTCGGTCTGCAGCCTGTGGCTGTGCGAGACTGGCAGGTTCACTTCCGGGTGTGTCAGGCGGCACCTCTTGCAAAATAGGTTGCATGAAATTTTCATTCAAAACTACCTTATTTTGGTATCTTTATTGTCGTCATATGCCAGCGTGACTACGGCAGAATGAGCCTAGGGCGGTGAAGTTACCGGAGAGTTCATTGCGAATGCTTTTGTCAGCCGCGGACACCATAGCCTGTCCCAGTTGGAAGCGCGTTGGCAGGAGTCACCTCCATCAGATTAGTCCACTACTTGCCTCCTTAACGCGGTCTGTGCCATGATGGGTCAATTTCCCCTCTGATCGATGGAACCATCCTCAGAGGCTCGCACTTGCAGGTCTACGTCCAGACGACATACGGGCTCTCCTACGCAGCGCAATTATCGACTTTCTCTTTGCAGCTATCATGAACAGCACCCACTGCCACGTAAGGGTCCCGTCGACTCACCTGTCCTTGACCGCTTGACGACATTAAGTAGTTCGTGGGTGTGTCGAGGACTGTTTCCGGCATACAACGCGTTAACAGCAGCTGGGAATAGGTGGTGGAGACAGCTTCGGCCTTGGCATATCTGCATAGCAAGAACGTCGTCCACGGAGACCTGCATGTGGTTCGTTCGCGCCATCTTCTATCTCGGGAGCTCTAACGAATCTTGTTCTAGAACAATCCTTGAGGACGCTAGTTACCATATTCGCCTCGCAGATTTCGGACTATCGGATTTTTTCGATGCCTCTTCTGCCAGTGTCAGCTCTGCGACTACCGGCACAGCTCAATAGATGGCTCCCGAGATTTTGCGCCCAACGAATTACGGTCTCGAACATGTCCGCCACACGTCGAAAGCAAACTTCACTCATTTGCAATGTGCAGTTGAGCGGTGAGCTTAGTCCCGAGGTGGGCGGTTGCGTAGCTTATTGTCTCTGCTGGATCTTTGGCGGCGGTTCCCCTTCCGCGGTTGCCTAGCAGTAATGCCCCCCCTGGCTATCTGCGATAGCGAGCGCCCATCGCGGGATACAGGCAGCTATGCCCTCCCAGAACCACTGTGGGTCCTGTTGACGCGTTACTGGCAAGATAAAGCGAGGGATAGGCCTAGCTCGTCGGAACTCTATCAGGAACTTCGTCATATCTCCTCGCCTCGTGCTCCCAAGGACGTGGCCTCTGACAACCAGCCAGAGAGCGATGGCGGTACGCTCAGCACGCGCACGGTACCTAAGTCTCGTTGCACTGCGCAGTCTACCACGTCTGTTTGGCGTTTCACCCACTGCACACGTCACGAAGCCCGCACATCAGCCTGGCGGCTATGTCAAGCCCAACACCGCAGACGATCCGCAACCTGGCAAGCACCTACCCTGACGCCTCGTTCCGCAGATGACATATCGGCCCCCGCAACACCAAGCACTGACCGGCAGGAACGCATTACCCGTCATATTCTACGTTTTTGATCCGCGCGGCTGCGGGATCGGCTGTCTCGACGCGTTCAACAGACTGTTCGCGGAGCTGAAGAATGCGGACGAGATTGCCGAGTGTCGAGGCTCCGTGGTTCTGAGAATCTGCCTTAAACGCGGCGCTTATATGAACAGGGGATATCTAGTGGCCTGATTACGAGCCCTGGTCGGTTTTCATCTTTGCCCAAATATCGCTCGGGCAGACCTGGCGGAGCATGTCAGTCGTTGTACACAAGCTTTCCTCAATCTGCGGCCTGCTGGCGCTCCTCCTAACGCAGTTTGCGGGAATCGTCAGCGAAGTGTTTGAGCGCTGATACGCGTTGGCGGCTGAGGCCTGGTGCCATCGCATTCTCCGACCTCGAGCTAGTCGGTCTTCAGCCCGTGGCCGCGCGAAACTAGCAGGTCCATTTCCGGGTACGCCAAACGGCACCTCCGGCAGCCTAGCCTGCACTGGCGGCTCCTAAACACTTGGTCATCCTCCCCTCCAATTCTGTCGTCCAGCTCTCTTGCTTCAAATACACCTCATCAAAGTTGAATACTGAGCCGCCTGAACGCAAGGGTTTCTGACTACCTAGCGTCTCAATGACCGCTTGCTAGATGAGCGTTAATGAGTCTCGTGATCATTGTTGTTATTTTTGCTGGCGCCATCTTCGATTCGACTAGACGAAGCCGAATTTTGAGCCCTCGGGGCTCGCGTGTCTAGAGCCTCATTTTATGTAGGTCCCGTGACTATAGCCCATCGTTACCTTGCTTGTGGCTTCTAGTTCCATCCATGTGTCATTTGTCGCTCCGCAGATAGCATTTGTCATGGCAGCATCTACCAGTACTACAATTTGAATATGTATATTGACCTATATGGTACATGTCGTTGTCACGATATTAAGATTCATGTCGCGGGCTCCTTGCAAGGGCAAATAGGTGCGCGACGGTAGCTGACACAGTGTTCTAATAAGGTCTATAATATAGCTTCACAATCCCGAGTGGGCTCTAAATCTTTTCGTGCTATCAACTTTACTTTCATCGTGAGGTTCCTTGGTGGTAGTCGCGCCACCAAGATGATGCGCTCTGCCTTCAGCCTGAGAAGGATCGACGACGGTCCCACAATCGCGTCATCAGTTAGGGTTAAGATACCTAACCCTAGAGTACGTGCAAGAAGCGCCTACGTTCTGCCAGCAACTTGCACGGCCTGGTATGCACTAACTTCGATAGGCCATGCCGTGCCTTTTCTAGAACATCGATGAGTTTCCTGACGGCTGTCTGCCATTTGGTGCTGCGGTTTTTTTTGTGGCATAGATGGGCCAGAACCCCCCGCTCTCGATGTGCGTAATCTCACAAATTCAATGGACGGTGGTTCTCCCAAGCTTCGTACTATGCTTAGCGCACTGCAGGTCTACGCGACCAATCAGCCTACGACTCTGATGTACAGATCAATGATTCTCTGCAGGCCCACCTATTGTCGTGATACGACGACTGGGCTGCGCGAGCGCGAACTGGCAAGTGGCACGCGGGCACGATCTAATACACACGGGGGATTAGTCTGAGTGCGAAGGGAAAGAGCACGCAGAGTGGGGATGCGAGAGGAGTCCTTATATACTAAAAGGAAGCAAAATTGAAAGTCTGCTAGAATGGGGAAGCCTGCCATAAAGAGGTCCGTGCGTGGGAGCACTACATATGATTGTCCAATCACTATCTACGTATTAGCAGCGCCTAATCTAAGATGTCCACCTTAAGTCCATGCCGGGCGGAACGCCGAGCCAGAGCCACTAGGCGCTTCAACACTCCCCCTTGGCGAGGCGATACGGAACGAGGCCAAGAGACTGGGTGTGACGGCTGTGTACCTCAGCCGGTAAAGGCTTTGTGAGAATATCAGCCGGATTGTCGACACCGGGAATCCTAACGAGTTCGATCAGACCTGCTTCGAATTGCTCATGAACAGCGTGAGCTTTGACGCGGGTGTGTTTCGTGCGATGCTTGACGTTGGGTGACTGGGCAGCATCAACGACAGATTTATTGTCGCAGTGGAGAGAGACAGGCTTCGTGAGTGGGTGTTCGATATACTCAGCGAAGATTTCGAGCCACTGTAAATGTCGGACTGCTTCGTCGGCTGCGAAGTACTCTGCGTCGAAGGTGTCTCGAGCCACAGAGCGTTGCTTGCGAGAAGACCAACTGGTCGCGCCTCTACCGAGTTTGTAAACCCAGCCGGATGTTGAGACGGAGTTGTCCTTGTCGTTCGCGAAGTCTGCGTCGGTGTAACTGAGCAAACAGCTATCGGTCTCGTCGTTCTGACCTAGACGGAGTCGATAGTTGGAGGTGCCGCGGAGGTACTTGAGAACACGATAGGCGGCAGCTACGTGCTTCGGTGAAGGGTTTGCCTGATATTGGCAAAGTCGGGCGACGGCGAAGCCGATGTCGGGGCGAGTCCCGAGCATGGCGTACATGAGTGAGCCGAGGAGTGAGCGGTAGAGTTTGATGCGGTCTTGTGGACAGTCCGCGGGGTCTTCCTCGTTCTTCTCGAGTACGTTGTCAGTGCCGAGTGGTGTGGATGCAGGGTTGCAGTCTTCGTATCCGAATCGTTTGAGAACGGACTCGATGTACGTTTCCTGGTCGAAGTATGTAGCTCGACTCCCCCTATCCCTCGTGACATGGATGCCGAGGTAGTACTTGAGTTTGCCAAGGTCCTTGAGTTGGAACCTTTCCTTCAATGCCTCTTTCGTTTGTTGGATGAGATCGAGGCTGTTTCCCATCATAGTTAGGTCGTCAACGTAAACCACTAAAATTTGAGTGGATCCCCCTCGTTGACGGCGAATGAAGATGGATACGTCGCCGGCGTCGTGGCATGCGAATCCAATGTCCTCGAGACAGGCTTTGAGCGTGAGGAACCATGTTCGTCCCGCTTGCTTTAGCCCATATATTGCTTTCCGCAGGCGGCATACTTTGCCTGCGTTCGTTACGAAACCTTCAGGTTGCTCCATGTATAGCTCCTCGTCGAGTTCTCCGTTCAGATATGCTCTATCAAAGTCGATCTGATGGATTTCCCAGTCCTGGATAGTCGCTAGGGCGATGAGGTATCGCCAGGATTCCAGACGGGCAACGGGAGCGAAGGTGTCTTCGTAGTCGATGCCTTGAACTTGCGTGAACCCCTTGGCTACGAGCCTTGCCTTGTAGCAATCCACTTCTCCGTTCTCATTGCGCTTGACAACGTATACCCATTTGCACTTGATCGCCTTGCGACCCTTTGGTAGGTCGACAAGTTCCCAGGTGCCTTGTTCCAGGAGGCCGGTGACTTCGGCCTGCATGGCAGTCATCCACTCCGCTGAGTCCGGTGCATCAGCTGCTTGTTTGTAGGTTCGCGGCTCTCCAGCAATGGAGGAGTCGCCTACGATTGCAGCGATGTCGCCCGGTTCCTTGCCTGTGTTCAGTGCTTCCTCGATGTCTGCTTCGGTCGCTCCGGGCCAAATACTCGTCCATTTCTGAGTTGCTTTACGCTCGCGGGTACCGCGGCGGACGCCTGACGACATCGTGGCATGCTCAGGATTGGTGAAGGGATTGTAGTCCCACGAGGTGGTATTGGGATTTGGCTGGAGTGGCGGAGGGGCGACGACGCGAGATGGTGAGGCTTTGGCCTTGCCTTTGAATTCAGGCTTGACCGGTGCACTTGGTGGGATTGGCGGAGCTGGATACAACTCTGTTCGAGGTGTAAGGCGTGGTATTTGGGATGCTGTAGGCGGTTTTGGTGTGATGGGTTGAGTAGAAGGTGGTACAGGCTGTGGCGGCTGCGTAGGAGCTGGTGGCGTGTTAAGGGGAGGTAGTTCGAGTTCGACAGATGACGGCAGCATGGATGTAGATCCGGTCGGTTGTGTCGAGGACGGTGAGGGTAGGAGTTTGTTGGGGAAGATCGACTCGTTGAATATCACATCAGTACTCGTGGTGATCTTTCTGCTACGTTTATCCCATAGACGATAACCTTTAGAATTTGTCTCGTAGCCAATAAACACTAGGCTCTCAGCGTTAGCATCAAGTTTCTTGCGTTTATCCCCGGGTATATGGCAATAGGCCTGGCAACCAAAGACTCGGAAGTGGGACACGTCCGGTGTGGTGCCAGTGAGTCGTTCCAGGGGCGTACGCCATGCGATGGCTTTCTTAGGGCCTCTGTTGCGTACGTGCACAGCTGTGCGAACAGCTTCTTCCCAGAATCTGTGTGATAACCCGGCGGTTTGTAGCATTGACTTAGCGGCTTCTACGAGTGTGCGATTCATGCGCTCAGCTTTGCCATTTTGCTGTGGGGTACCGGGTATCGTGCGCTCGTGGATGATCCCAGATTTCTTCAACAAGTTGATGAACTCGTTGGAGTGGTATTTACCCCCTCGATCTGACCGAAAGACCTTGATGACCGTGTCGAACTGTCGCGCGACGAGGGCTATGAAGTCTTTGAATGCGGAGAGGAACTCATCCTTTGTTCGCAGATAGTAGACCCATGTGACGTCGGAGCAGTCGTCGATGAAGGTGGCGAAGTATCGGTGGCCTGTGATGGACACCACCGACATAGGTTCGTCGAGGTCAGAGTGAATGAGGTCGAAGGGTTTGTTGGCGCGTGAGGTGGACGATGTGGGGAATGTACGCCTGTGTGCTTTGCCCAAGACGCAGCCTTCGCAGGGGTGCGAAGGTTTATCCATATCGGCGGCAATGAGGCCTTTGACCGGAGAGGAATCAGCAGTGGCGAGCTTGCGTACTGCCTCCCAGTTCAGGTGACCAAACCGGTGATGAATAACGTCGAGCGAAGTGGCGTTGTGCGTGGAGACCGCGACAGATGGTGGAGGTGGAGTAAAGTCCAACCAATATTGACTGTGGGACTTAGTGCCTATGCCAAACGTGGTGTTACCACGCTTGATTTGGGCTCGTCCTTTCCCAAAGACGAGATCGAAGCCTTTGTCTTCGATGCATGAGACGGATATTAGCCATCCGGACATTGCAGGGCTGTAGAGAATGTTCTCTAGCCTGATGTTTACTGGTTTGTTGTCGACGAGCGTAGTGCCCTCGACAACACCTGAACTGAGCGTGCTTACTTGCGTTTTTGCCTTGTCTGCTAGTGTTGCATATGTAGGCAACGCAAAGGTGGTGTACTCAGCAAAGTCGTTCAGGTCGTTCGTAATGTGTCGTGTACAGCTGGAGTCTAACATCCAGCGTTTCACACCGTGGAGATACCAGGAAGCGGAGTGAATTTTGGCCTCAGGAGCAGCGGCTCCTTCGGCGGTGACTACATGTACAGATGCGTGACCAGTACTACTACCGGACGGATTACTTTTACCGTCCTGGGCTTTGCCATTGCTGCCCTTTCGCGCCTCTTCGGCAGCGGCCTTTTTCTTTCTGCAATCCTGCTCGTAGTGGCCTTTGTAGTGGCAGAAGTTGCACTTGCCCTTCTTGCCATCAGGTTTGCCAGCTTTGGCTTTGCCTGAGGTAGACGCCTTCGGTGCGTGGAAAGCGGCGACGTTGGTGGAGGAGCTGCGACGTTTCGCTTCGTCGAGGAGACGGTTGCGGATGTCGTCGAGCTTTAAGTCGGCGGGCTTGGTGACTGCGAGGATGGGCTCCACGACGTTGTTGAACGAGTCGGGGAGGGCCGTGAGCAGGCCGAATATCTGCAGGAGCTCCAGGGTTTGGAGGATCCCGGAGGCGCTGACCTCTTGCCAGAGTCGGGCGCGTTCGTCGAGTTGGGCAGCGAGGTCATCGCTGTCCGTGATCGCGTGCGAGAAGTACGCGCGGAACTTAACGAATGCCGACATGGTGGTGGAGGCGGCGTAGTTGTCCTTCAGCTTCTTCCACAGCGCGGCGGCTGTGATGTCCACTGGGTTCGCGAGGTGCAGGAGCTCGTCGCCGAGCGTGCTGAGGATGTAGAACCTCGCGTATGCGTTCGTCGTTTCCCATGCTTCGATGTCCGCAGCGGAGACAGAGCTGCTTGGGACAGGGGCTCTCTCGGTGCCGTCGACGACCTTCCATGCGCGTGCAGCAATAAAGTACTGCTGCATCATCAGGGACCAGCGTGGGTAGTCGCTGGAGCCTTTGAGCTTTCCAATCGCATCGAGCTTCATCGATGGCGGACCGGTGGCTGATGCGAATGCGGAGGCGGAGGACATTGTCGTTGTGCGGCGAGGTGCAGTTGACGCGGATTGAGAGGGTGTAGTAGGAGCGGCGGGAGTGCAACGTGTAGGACGGGGTGCAGGTGCAGGTGCAGGTGTCGGTGCAGTTGGTGAAGGTGGGCGTGATGCAGATGGACTAGACATGCACTAGAGGGTCTCTAGTGTCCGTGTTGCAATGTGGAGTAACACTTGGGGTAAAGACCCTGAGGTGTTATGGAGCTAATGTGCGGCTGGTGCCGGATCTCTCCGAGTGAAGACTCGTGAGGGATGGAGGGTAGATGGGGGCCAGTTACAAGCCGGGGCTCATAACCTATTGTCGTGATACGACGACTGGGCTGCGCGAGCGCGAACTGGCAAGTGGCACGCGGGCACGATCTAATACACACGGGGGATTAGTCTGAGTGCGAAGGGAAAGAGCACGCAGAGTGGGGATGCGAGAGGAGTCCTTATATACTAAAAGGAAGCAAAATTGAAAGTCTGCTAGAATGGGGAAGCCTGCCATAAAGAGGTCCGTGCGTGGGAGCACTACATATGATTGTCCAATCACTATCTACGTATTAGCAGCGCCTAATCTAAGATGTCCACCTTAAGTCCATGCCAGGCGGAACGCCGAGCCAGAGCCACTAGGCGCTTCAACACCACCTGGCATTACTGACAGTGCTGTAGCGTGTGGCACTCTTCTCCGGATCTTCCTCTGCCGCCCGGGAGCGGCCTCCCGCCGCCTCCAGTGCCTCCGCCTCGCCACCTGTGCCTGGCCCCGAAGCACAGGGTGCACCCGCGCCCAGTGGCCCTGTGGTGCCGAAGACCCAACGATTGCTTGGAAAGTTATAGGGCTGCCCTTGATTGACTGCAACAAGCACTGACTGTGTTGCCTCCCGAGCCAAGTCGCCAGTCGCGTTTCGGATAAGACAAGAAGAAGCCTCATACAGAGCTGATGTCGAGATTGAAGGGATGCACTACTGGGCTTGACAGGCGACATTGGTTTCTACTGTCCATCTCGTGTTTTCTTGCCTCCGCATGGTCTTCCCTACTTGGATGGTTTGAAGAAGCGGTTTATGGTTGTGGCGGTGAGTACGTGAAAGTTCTCATACCTGCAATGCATGCCGTTACAACTGCCACGCTTGGTAGCTAAATTGGCTGAGTTTCAACAGTGTAGTGCACCCGAGCTCATGCCACAATGCTTGCTAATTCTGGTTGTAGCTTGAAAGGCCTAAGCCTGCGAGCGTCGTCCCTGATGCCGACTAATCTAATGCTGAGCTCGCCATCCACTACTCATGAGATCAGTGTGCGCTTCAAGAGTAAGTTAGCGGGGCAACTCTTGGATCCGACCTTTCTCCGATTTCGGACATTCTTCGACTTCTGCGAGTTGGCGTTTGGGAAAGTAGCGATTTCTTGGGACAAGTTCTACTTTTCCGCGGCCTCAGCCATGTTGAAATGTAAGGCCACCAAAGCTGTACATGCTGCGTGACTGATGACAGTGATAGCGTTTTGTCGGAGTGTCTTTTTACCGTGGTTGTATGTTTGGTCCCATTTATGCCGTCGCGACAATCCAAGCGGCCGGGCGGAGATCCCTCCGCCGCGGCGCCACAAAGCTGCTGCGCCCTTACCTTTCGAGGATAAATTACGGCTACATCACCGTGTCGACCCTTCTTTTCTCCCAAGCACCCGTACCTTATTTGTCGAAGAATTCAGTCGCAAGGCCACAGAAGGTTATGGTTCATGCGGTGACAATAGGAAATTCTTGCATAACGGATGCTGCTATGGACGGTTAACGCTTTGGCTCTCATGTTGCGCCCCTATTTGGCTCCCCTCGTTCTGAGCCCTACCCGTGACCCGTCAGCATCATAAACTCAGGAACGTTCAGGAATGAAGGCAAGCGATCACTCACGGATTTAAGATCTATGGCACACATATTTATACGCCGTTTAGAGCTTGGCGACGATTTTTACTCGTTCACCTCCCATCCACCACCCTCCTTGGACTCAGCCCGCCGACCATGTTCTCGACTACTACGCAAGGCTTCCTAGGTCTCACACTCATTCTTATCCTGCGGTGGGCCTCGCAGAAGATGTTAGAGAGAAGGAAAGGTCCTCATCCGCCCGGTCCTCCTGGTCTGCCATTGCTCGGGAACCTGCTCGACGTACCAGACGACCCGACGTGGATGGCGTACATACGTTGGGGCGAGAAATACAGTGAGTCATGTGGCTTTATCTCGTGAACAAGCAACTTACCAGTCTCTCTATGGGTGTATGTTAGACTCTGATGTCCTGCGTCTGAATGTATTAAGAGATAACATTATCATTGTGAACTCACTGGAAGCGGCAACCGACCTGCTGGACAAGAGGTCTGCGATATACTCAGATCGGTGAGCTCATTTTCTACCTTTGTCGTCCAATTTCTCAACGTGTGCAGACCCAAAATGCCCATGTTGAATGATCTGTGAGTCTATATCGGGTAGACCCCGCGAAGCGTCACTCAAGAACATGCACAGGTGTGGGTTTGGCTGGAACCTGGCCTTTCGGCCATATGACAACACTTGGCGGAACGGGCGAAAGGTGTTCCAGCACGAGCTCGGCCCTCAGGTAGTGAGGCGCTTTCGCTGCCTCACAGAGCAAGCGACCCACAGGTTCTTGCGCAGCCTCCTCCATGAGCCTGCGGCATACATGGATCATCTCCGCCAGTACTATCGCTCCATTAATCACTTGTCGCGGCTGCTGACATATTGCATTCAAGCATGGCAGGATATGGGGTTATGCGAATCGCATATGGGATCGAAGTCGCAGAAAAAAATGACCCATACATCGAAACTGTAGCACGCGTTGCCGAAGCGATCGTGGAGGTCTGCCGCCCTGGTGCATACCTAGTCGATATCATGCCCTTCTGTGAGTCAATTGGTCTCGATTACTACAGTATAGGCTGACGTATGACGCAGTGAAGCATGTTCCCGAATGGTTCCCAGGCGCGAAATTCCAGCGCGATGCAAAGGTCTGGCGCAAGCTCATGACAGACCAGCACGACAAGCCGTTCGAGTTTATAAAAGAGCGTATGGTGTGGTGATTTTGTATGAGCGTGCAGTGCACAGATATGATTCTCACATGCATCGTAGATCAGCGGCGACGCACCGGACTGCGCAGCAAAGTCTTTGCTGGAGAGCCTCGAATCGGGTGATAACACAGTGAACTACACCGAGGATGACATCAAGTTCGCTCTGGGTTCGATGTACTCAGGTGCGCTCCACTACTTGTTGTCTTAAATATCTAGCTCATACCTCTGTCATCGTAACAGGAGCCTCAGATACGGTACGTGGGCTGACGCGCTTTCGGCTGGTCCCACATCTATGTGAGAGTCTGGTTGACCTTGTTCCAGATTGTGTCGACGCTGGGATCGTTCATCTTAGGCATTGTTCTAAATCCTGCGATTCAGACCAAAGCTCAAGAGGCGATCGACAGAGTGTGTCCTGATCGTTTGCCCGCGTTAGCCGATAAGGACAACTTGCCCTACATCGACGCTATCGTGAATGAGTCGCTAAGATGTAATCCGGTGATACCGATAGGTAGGACGTTTTTATGGTATGTCGCTATTGCTGTAACGTCGGCTGATGGCGTATTTAGATATCCCGCATCGCTTGACGGCCGATGACGTTTATCGGGGATACTACATTCCAAAAGGCTCTCTTGTACTGGCCAACACGTGGTACGTCTCTCTCTAATCTTCACAACCGGTGATTTGGTTGGCTCACGCGTTACCAGGGCTATCCTACATGACGAGAAGACTTACCCGGATCCCCTGTGCTTTAACCCGGACAGGTTCATGAAGGACGGCAAGCTGGACCCCGCCGTGCGCGAGCCTGACGCGGCGTTCGGCTTTGGGCGAAGGATCTGCCCGGGCAAACACATGGCGCACGAGATCATGTGGATTGCCGTAGCATGCACGCTCGCGGCCTTCAGCATTTCCAAGGCGAGGGACGAGCACGGGCGGGAAATCACACCCAGCGGGGAGTACGATGTGGGTTTCGCTTGGTGAGTCAACTTTCTTAGCCGAGAGGGACGCACGCTGATGGTTGGTGAAGCTATCCGAAGCTGTTCGTGTGCGATATCCGCCCTCGCTCGCAGGAACATGAGGCCCTCATTCGAGCGACGACGGACGAGTTGTGAGCGGTTCGAGGAGCGTTTAGTAGAAACTAGAAGCCTGTTCTGAAATTGTTTTGACACGACAATGTATCTAACACGCTGTATATTGCGACTGTTCCAGAAGGAACGCTACCGCGTCTGACTTGGATAAGCTTGGATAGCCTCAAGTATAAGTATCGTCCCTGTGCAGAACTCCTCTCAAAGTTGACCCTAACCCTAATCCAAGCGCTGGCATGTTGAAATCACAGACGAACTTCCAACGCATCCTTTTCATATCGCCGTCCTAGAAATCCTTCTTCTCTATGCTACAACATCTAAGACTCTGCATTTCTCACAGCGTCCCGCGAACCGCGTCTGCGCGGGGTGGCTCCCCGACTTCCCCGATAACGCTACAGCCACCAACGCGAGGTGTGATGGCACCCTGGCACTTGCGGTAGCCTGCATAGAGCTCGCCGACGAGGGACTATGTGAATGAGGGGTGTCGCGTTCTGGAAGTTCCGCTCGTCCTCATAAAGATCTGGCATGCGTCCCGCACGCACATCAAGAAAACAGGGCGATGGTCACGCATCAGGAAACACTACCATGCTACCCGATGCTACCCAACGCTTCGGAGCACTACCTAGCTCGGGTAGCGTCGGGTAGCATGGTTATTGTTTCCTGATGCGATCCCGAAGCCTTTCAATTGTAATGCCACTTCCCTCTTCAGCTTCAAGCCTTCAGACGGTCACCTGCACCAGGCCGACACAGCATACGACCCGCTTTCTGTCACTTTTGAGAGTTTCGTAGCCGCATTTGACATCGGCAAGGATGTGGACATGCACTGTGCGGCCATCAAGCCGCCGGGCGGGGACACGCCGACGTGTTCTTGTCTGCTGACTTTGGGAGGTGAAGGAAAAGACTGATGGAAGAACTCTGTGCGGGATGATGTTTAGCCTTATGGCAGTAACTGGGATATCTGCTCGCCGGCACATGGAAATGGCAAAGCAATGGAAGAAAGTTTCTGCGTCCAGCTGCCAATGTCGCAAATTTTTTCCCAAAATCATGACGCATCAATAGCGATCTTTTCTCTCACAAGCCTCGTTAGGGCATCGTGATGTGCATCACGACACGAAATTTGCCTCATGAGGGCCTCACGATGGCCTCGTGAGGCAGTTTTGATGCGATTTTGATGCAATCTTGGGGCGGCTCCCTCATGAGGGTAAACGGAAATTTGCGACACAACACTCGCTGGGCTATCCGCCCCTCGCGGACGCCGGCACAGTTCTGAGTTAGCGTAGCAGTTTAAGGACAGAGAGCTAAAACCGTCCTTCCCGCGTATCTAAGGGTTCCGATCCTGCTCCAAGCATGGCGCCCATGGCAACGAGTGTTCCACTTCGCGTCGGTCAGGCACCATCAGTCGGAGATCAACGCGCCACAAAGCTGATGCGCCCTTCCTTTATAAGGCAGCCGTCGCGATGTAATTCTGTTGAATATTCTTTCTTCTCAACCGCCTGCATCTTATCCGTCGAAGGGCATACTCCGGTGAAATTACGAAGATCCATGGTTCTGGTAGTGGTGAGTGAGCTTGGACCATATCGATAACAAACTACTACTAACGGTTAGCACCCTCAGTCTTCGCACTCGTGACCCATAGCTTCGGCTGAGCTCTCCCCGCGCCTCGGTAGCACCCCAGAATCAGAGCATGCAGGCATGCAGATCGCAAGCGATCACTCGCATATTGAGCGTCTCAACTACACATATATCTGCATGTAGCTTGGTGACGACCTCTCTCTTGTTGAATTTACTTCTACCACTCTCTCCGAACGCGACTTGGTGACGATGACCACGACCATCTTGCAGAGCCTCGCAGGCCTCACAATTATCCTGCTCGTGCGGTGGGCTGCCCAGAGGAGAGAGCAGAAGAGGAAAGGCTCGCATCCGCCCGGCCCACCCGGTCTGCCACTACTCGGGAACCTACTCGACATGCCAGACAACCCGTCTTGGACGACGTACATACGCTGGAGCGAGGAGTACGGTGAGTCTGGCGGTAGTATCTAATGAATACGCAGCTGGCTGACGCCTGTGGCGCATGCGTGTCTATCAGACTCTGACATCCTGCGTTTGAATGTGCTTGGAAGCAACATCATCATCGTGAACTCGCTGGAAGCAGCGAACGATCTGCTGGACAAGAGGTCTGCGATATACTCTGACAGGTAAGTCCCTCTATTATTCCCCGCATCAAGTTGCTGATTATGCGTAGACCCGAGATGCCTATGTTAAACGACCTGTGAGTCCATATCAGATAAATTCCGCGAAATAACACTCAAAGACATGCACAGCTGCGAATTCGGTTGGAACGTCGCCTTCCGGCGGTACGATGACTCTTGGCGGAACGGACGGAGGGTGTTCCAGCACGAGCTCGGCCCCCAGGTCGTGAAGCGCTTCCGCAGTCTCGAAGAGCAGGCGTCGCATCAGTTCTTGCGTAGTCTTCTCCGGGAACCCACGGCGTTCATGAACCATCTCCGGCAGTAGGTTTTGTGGTATCACTGAAGTAGAGTGCTGGCTGACGCGACGAGTCTCAGCATGGCCGGATACGAGATTATGCGTATCGCGTATGGGATTGAGGTCGCGGATAGAGACGATCCGTATGTCGACACTGCGGAGCACGCTGTCGGCGCTGTTGTGGCAACTTGCAGTCCGGGGTCATACCTGGTGAACATTATGCCGTTCTGTAAGCAGGCTCTCTAATCACGATTGTGCTGTGGGCTGACAAGGTATGCAGTGAAGCATATACCAGAATGGTTCCCCGGTGCAAAGTTCCAACGTGACGCGAAAGTTTGGCGGAAATACGTGACAGAGCTGCGCGATAAGCCGTTCGGGGTCGTGAAAGAGCACATGGTACGCTCCCCTGTATGAGCACGCGTACAGAAGTGTTTCTCACTTCTTGGCAGCGCCGGGGGGATGCGCCTGACTGCGCTGCTAAATTTTTGCTAGAAAGCCTTGAATCCGGGGATGACGCGGGGGATTACACAGAGAATGACATCAAATTTGCGTTGGGTTCAATGTATGCAGGTGCGCTCCACCGCCAATTTTCACGACCCCATCGCTCATATCTGCTATCGCAATAGGAGGCTCGGACACCGTACGTTGCCTGAAGCGCTCGCAAATGATTCCGCACCCAAGAGAGAGACTAACACACATTGTCCTAGACCGTGTCGGCACTAGGATCCTTCATTTTAGGGGTAGTGCTGAACCCCGAAATCCAGACCCAGGCACAGGAAGCAATAGACCGAGTGTGTCCCGACCGCCTGCCCACGTTCGCTGACCAGGACGACCTGCCTTACATCGACGCTATCGTGAAGGAATCACTCAGGTGGAACCCGGTGTTGCCCATAGGTAAGACATCCTGGGTTAATGTCGCTACCAAAGGACGCGCCCTAATGACGCGTGCAGATGTTGCACACTGCTCTATCGCCGACGACGTCTATCGTGGGTACTACATCCCGAAGGGATCTCTTGTGCTGGCCAACTCCTGGTGCGCGTCCTTCCCCCGTCACCGTTAGCGCTTCAACTGACCGCACCACACCAGGGCCATTCTGCATGACGAACAAGCCTATCCAGATCCCCTGCGCTTCAACCCGGACAGGTTCATGAAGGATGGCAAGCTCGACCCCTCTGTGCGCGAGCCCGACGCGGCATTCGGTTTCGGGCGCAGGGTTTGCCCGGGACGGTATTTGGCGTACGAAGCCATATGGATCGCAGTCGCATGCATGCTCGCGGTCTTTAACCTGTCGAAGGCGAAGGATGAACATGGGATGGAGATCACGCCGAGTGGGGAGTATAACGTCGGGTTCGCTTGGTGGGTGTTCGTTTGTTGCTGGGAAGAGTGCATACTAATAGTTGCTGAAGCTACCCCAAGCCCTTCCCGTGTGACATTCGCCCTCGCTCGTCATTACACGAAGCTCTTATTAGAGCAACGGCGGATGAATCGTGAACACTGGCAATGCGGCAAGCCCGCCCTAGTGTTATGCGAGCGTAGCATTAGTCTGCTTCAAAACAATGTCAGCATGATTTACACAACTCATCCAACCTGCGCTAGCGTATCCTTGCGGGTGAAACTGAATTGTGATTTTCTCAAGTGCAGCAACGCTGTTTGACTGGCGGCCGGGCGTTCATCGGCGTTCCCAAGGTTAACCCTAACCCTATATCAAGCGCCGGAATGTTGAACGAGCTGACACCCGACGTGTCTTTTCCGCATTGACCACCATCTCGAACACGGGAGAGCTAAACTGTCAATGATCAGTAACTTACGAGACAGACACTCTAGAGCTTACCTCTACCAGCTTTGAGCGATGTGATATTGTTTTGACTAACAGGTCGACACAACTGGCGGTTGACCTGCAGAGCGCCTCTAACTCTAGAAGCGAGTCATATCTGTGCATGTTAACATCAATATTACCGACAATAAAGCGGCCCAAATGACGACATACGCAGAATGAACAACATGCGTGCGTTCATTTCGTCTCATTAAATCGCAGACGTCATTCGCAACAAGCGCTGCAGTTCGCTACGGGGTTCACCTGTGACTCTTGATATCCAAATGAGCATTGAGTAAATACGTACCTTATAAATGCACCACGACTCCGGATCTCCCACGGGCTCACTGAAAGGCTTGGACTGGAACTGGAAGACCGCGATGCGTGAGCCTACTACAAATGGGGAGTGATTTGTTACGCACCCCGATACCATGATGATATGAAAGGTCTCTTGAGTGTTCCATCTGGTTGTGCAGCGTTGCCATCTCTTGGCTCATGAATTGGCTATGACATCTTCTGCACCGAAAACTTATGGCAGTGTCCAGGTATTGATGCCTTACGCTGGTGACGCAAGGGACGAGGATCTGATCTTCGATATTGAAACTCTCATCACGAACAGCCTGCGTCGTCATGCCCTGACCGTACCTTTCAGGAAGGGTGGTCAGTAACGGGTTCGGTACTCACAGCGACGCGCATGACACTCACCGAGAGCTACACCTCTGTTACCGCACTGTTCATGCCGGTACGGTTGAAGAAAAGTCCACTCCCGGGAGGTTTATAAAAGCGTATTTGGGTTGCCTCGTGTTTACAGCGCGTGCGGATAGCAGAGCCGTCGAACGTGGAAACTCGCGGCGGACATGTGGCCCTCGTACGTACCATACCGGGCTTATCTGGCCTGTGTGCTCGGGACTACGTGATATTCAATTACTGCGCGGGATTATCTGTGGAAACCAGACATCTAGGTTCCGCGCTGCCATGTCGTCGGGGCTCACTTTGGGGAGCTCTTGAAAGTGATGACTGCGCCATTCTCGCAATGTTGCAGCAAGCCGTATCCGTCAACAAAGACGAAATCATGGAGCTGCGTGGGGACAACGCAGCTTCATTCTTGACGCTTACTGATTCAGTAAGTATTGCCTCCAGGACATGTCTATTTCTGAGTTGACCGTACATCGTTGCAGGTCTTGTACTCTAGCGTATTTTGGCAGGGCATTTTCTCGCAACGGATCAAATCTCCTGCGCCGGACGCAGGGACACAGGCCTTCAGGGACCAACTGCGCCGCATAAGCGTCAGATTATCGATGGCCTCCTGCCAGCTTCCAGATGGCTTGCTCCTCGCAGGTGTTATTCTCAAAGATACAAAGCGGGTTGCCGCTGGAGGGTATGCGGATATCCACATCGGCCAATACCGTGGGCGCTGTGTGGCATTAAAGACCATGCACGACTTTCAAAGACAAAAAACCGAAGAAGTATCCAAAATTCTGAAGGTTCCGTCTGTTACTGCAGCTCTTTGTACATTGTCGCTCACTCATCATTCTTACAGACGTTCTGCCGCGAGATCACACTGTTACACAGCCTCAACCATCCGAATATTTGTGGATTCATAGGCGTTGACCGCGAACTTTTTGAGGGACGCTTTTGTCTAGTAACCGAGTGGATGCCACATGGAAATATCATGGACTTTATCGAGACCAACTCCTTTGTCTTTGGCGAGGTCAAGCAATTCGTGAGTGTATCAACGTTCGCCTCGAGGTGCACAATTTCTGACCCAGGTGCAGGTAGCGGAGATAGCTTCGGCCTTGGCATACCTGCACAGCAAGAATGTGGTGCATGGAGACTTACACGTCGTATGTCGATGTCTCCTGTGTCCACGAAACTCTCACAAACATCATTCTAGAGAAACATTCTCATCGACGCCGGTCGTCATGTCCGTCTGGCAGATTTTGGGCTTTCAGACTTTTGTGATGCGTCTTTCGCCAGCGTTGGCTCTGCTTCTGCGGGCGCAACCCGGTATATGGCACCAGAGATCTTGTTTCCGGAGAAATACGGTCTACGACATGTTCGCCATACCCCTGAAAGCGACGTCCATTCGTTCGCAATGTGTGTCTGGGCGGTAAGTTTGTTCGCGTCATAGACGAACTTATAACTGATTGTTCCTGTTCTAGATATTCAATGGCGATTCCCCCTTCCACGACTATCCGGCAGTCACAGCTTCGTTAGCGATTATCGATGGCAAGCGCCCGCCACCGCATACAGCCAAATACGACCTTCCAGCATCGCTGAGGTCTCTCTTAACTCTCTGCTGGCAAGAGAAGGCGAAAGACAGACCCAGCTCCTCCGAAGTCTACCATAGACTCGGTCAAATGTTCCAACCTCCTGCGTCGCTACACGCTCACTCGAGAACGTCAGCTGTCGGCAGCAGGAGACTGGCTCGGCTGTCGCGTCCGTATGGCGACGCAGACAGTTCCGGAAACGATTCTGCTTCCAGCAGCCGGCCGGAGAGCGATGGAGGCAGACTCAGCACGCGCAAGCTACTCCGGCAGTATCGTGCCGTGCAGTCAGCCAGAGGCACGCCTATTACCGCGGAACTTCGGCCGCCAACCATGATACGGAGCCCCATCGTGCGACCCGGCACCAGTCCACCGGCGGTCGTCGCTACACCAGACTCTACATCACAGACAGTGCGACACCTAGCAAGTAGGCATCCGGACGCAGAGCGGCTGGTCCCGCAGACTGTCTATCGGCCTTCGCAGGCTCAGCAGCTACGCGGGGGGCGCGCTGCGCAAGTGTTACTCATGCCCCCCATCATGTTCTACGTTTACGGCCCTCGGGGATGCGGAATCAGCTGTTTTGATGCTCTTAATGGAAGATTCGCAGAGTTGCAGGATCCGGACGTCCTCGTTGAGTGCCCAAGGTCTATGATTTTGAGAATCATGGTGCGTGTGCATCCAAGCTTACGTGTTTTTCGGGCTCGGTGCTGACGAGAACATGGCGTGTACATAGTGGCCTGATTACGAGCCCTGGTCGGCGAGTATCCTCCTTCACTCCGGGACGTCTCGGGCCGACTTAGCGATGTGCGTCAGCCTCTATACGCAAACATTCATCAACGTACGTTCTCTCACGTTCTGGACCTCGCATGTGTTTCCTAACGCGATCTGCAGGAATCGTTGACGAAATGCCTGAGAGCTGATACGCGCTGGAGACTGGGGCCCGGTGCCATCACGCTGTCCAACCTCGAACTGGTCGGCCTGCAACCTGTAGCTGCACGAGACTGGCAGGTCCACTTCCGGGTGCGCCAAGTAGCGCCTCAGACAGCCTGAGCTGGACTGGCTTCAGCTCGGCCCCAGTCCATTTTGTTACCTTTACCTCACACGCACCTTTGTATGCACAGTCGCAGGACGGCTGTAGACTGTTGAATCCAGTTTAGGCGTTCAAATCCAAAGCATAAGCCGGATTGAATGATAGCCTCGGGAATGAAACTACTTGGACAATGCGCAGCCCGAGACGTGCTGAAACGCACGTGTAATGCACCTCAGCCCCTCTCCTGGGCAACAGCCGCGTCCACGATTTCTAATAGAGTTGTGGCTCCCCGACTCACGTTCTGACTCACGCTATGACTCGCGCGCGCTGACCCATCCCGCATAGGGGCGAGCAGCAATGTTATGAGGGACGGACGCGTCGCCGCCGGCAACACATAGACACCACTCATCAGACGCCCGAAACCTCGGCAATAGGCCAACCCCCCGGCTACCGAACTGCCACTGGTGGCTGTGATTCTTCCGCAATGAATGTGTTCGAGAGGATGATACAGTAGCTTACACAGCTGCACGGATGAGACTGTGGAGCTCAAGATCTGGCAAATTTTGGGATCCGGACTATCGTGATCTTTGAGGCTTGGTTTTTGTCTGAGATTCGTACGACCGAAATCATGATTTTGTGCAATGCGAAATCCGCCCCGATCCGAGATCTCCCCGCAACAGAATGGCGCCCACAGAGCCTCAGAGCCCACGTTCGTTCGTGTTCGATACATAAAAGTGCACATTGAATGACGGGAGACTACAATAGAACATATGTATAACCTAGGCTGCAGGATATTGAGCCATGGCGGATGCTGGAGCAGCAGGCTGCGGGATGGAGAATGGTCCATCATCAAGCTCACTGGTACCTTTGCCCCCACAAGACCGGTATGCTGCCAGTATCGTGGTCATCCTCAAGGAGACCACTGCATCTCCAAATCAGGTTCTGCTTTGGTACTAGAGCTATCTGAGGGCGCCGGGGGTGCAAGGAGCATCTCTCCTTGCACGGGTAGTGATCACTCAGAAGAATGTGGACTTGGCTGCCCCAGTCAGCCCAGCTTAGTTGCCAAATACCTGGTCGAGCGGATTGCTAGGTAGCTGAGGGTCATGAATAGACCCTAGAGGATTCATCTCTAGTTGGTCGTCAGCCGCAGCCTGATCAGCCCCGGGCAGTTCAGCAAGACCGGCCAGTATGTGCGGGCGGAGCGGTTGACATGGGCATGATGCATTCGGCAAGCTTAATAAGGTGGATGATGTGTCAAAGGTGTTGCGTAGAGGCAGAACCGAAATATGATTGGTGGGCCGATCATACTCGGGGGGCGATGAAGGAGGCAAGGATGAATTTGCGCGGTTTCGACATGGAGACGCGTTCGATACACTCAGGATACTGGCGGGCATGGACGCAGGTTGAAATCGACACGGCTGTCAAGCTCGCGTACACATGTGCTCGCGTCGTGGTGAAGAGCCTCTGAAGTGACATGCCTAGTTCCCCATAGTTCAGTGCTGCGAGCACAAAAACTCATTTGCACAAGTCTTGGGCGCAGAATTTCTGACGGGCGGACTCACGATTCTTGGGTTTTGAGAATATGGTCAGATTCTTGGATGCGGAGTATCTTGAGACTTGTATGACATGGTCAGACAAAAACCAACGCTCAACGATCAGATTCTCGAATGACCGAAATCGCGCCCGGGTGATGTTCAATATCTCCCAGATACTGTCACCACAGTCTCATCCGTGCAGCTGTGTAGGCGACTCGAATTTAGCAGGCTCCCTCGTTCTGCTCTGTTTAAGACATCTCAAGCGAGAACACGTACGAGACTCTGATCCGCGGCAGCTGGTAGATCAGCCCCTCTAGATCTCGTGGTGCATTTGTACACTGTCTCTGATTACCACTTTTCGTCGGACTCTGTATGTACCACCTCCATAGCCTCCGGCGTCCTACGATGAGCCCGTGGCGAGAAGGTGCCTGCCGAACAGGCCCCAAGTTCCAGATAAAACGGTACAGAGCGTCGCGGAAGAGGACCCCCGCCTCCGTACGGGATTCCTTCGACGTGTGTCGAGTGCAGGGATCACCATGGGACGACGAACGTTGCGTTCCGCAAAGTATAGTGTGAATGATGGCATTTCTGCTTTCCTGTTCTGCTAAGTGCTGGCCGCCCCTGAGGCCGGGCATCGGGGAAGGGTTCCTCCCCAGCCCGAAGGGAACCCTGACCGAGCGCACTTTGTCCCTACTATATGCGGCAGGGAAAAGCGACAGCGTCGGGCGGGAAGCTGAGCTGAAAAGGCAGGGCGGCCGCGAGTGAGTGCATATATGTGGTAGTGAACAATCTTCGAGGCGGCGAGAGCTTGGCATAAAATCTGGTGTAGTGAAATGAAGTGTGAATGCATTATTGGAGTCGAAGCTAGAATACGTTTCGTAAACAAGGGTTTAGATCTCGCATGGGGTGCTAAGAAGTGGGTAAGGTAATTAAGTTCCTGTCTTGCACGCAGGTCCGGAGGGCATAGCGCATCACGATTCCATCCATAAGCACCACAGCTGCCTGGTAGTCAAGGAGGAAATGCCCCGGGTACACGTCAAAGACGTCGCGGACGCCGGTCCCATGTCCATCACCGCCGCTTTCCATTTTGCTGAGAGAAAAAGGCGACGGCCGCCGTCCGCATCTGGATGGCACAAGGGCGGACCAGGGTGCATGATATGTTAGCAACCTCGAACGACCGTCTTCACCATGTCATTGAAGAAACTTCTGCTGGCATGTCACGCAAATCGATGTATGCAAGCTGAAGTAGACATGGAAGGAACAAATACATCTCATTGTTCCGCATTCTCCCTGGCGAAACAGTCAGCATGACGAAAGACACGACGTCAAGAGGGCGTGACTTACCCAATGTCAGCGGTAGGCACTCCAACCCGAGCACCGAACGGCCGACGGGACATCCGTGGCGCGCCTGCGCATGGCGCATCCGTAGCTGGCTTCGTTGACAAGGCCCGCAAGTGGCAACGGGCCCTGCTGTCATGGTACCCATCGTACGCGCGCACGGAGCTGCCGGCACTTGGTACTCAGTACTACTTGCTGCTCGCGGAGCCCGGCAGTAGCACGTATCGGCACGACTTGAATGGTGAGCATCGGCCGCACGCCCGGCCAGCCGCGCCAAACAGGCCAGCACCAAGCCAGCACATTCCGCCCGAGGGCTCTGAGCGTGGCGTCCCCAGGCGTCGCAGTGCAGAGGTGATCACCAAAGTGCATTTCAGGCTAGAAGCCCGGAGAGGGTCGGGTCGTGCGGAGACGCCCCTAGTAGAGTCTCAGACGCGCTGGAGCGGTGCGCGCGCCCTAGATCACTGCTACGCTCGTACGTGAGGAATCCAAGCGCGTCGCACATACTGGCAGCTCCAAAGACTTAGGGGCGCATTGCTGCGCCCTGAACGCGTCGCAGGGTCCCCCGCGAGCGCGTCGTGTGTGGTGGGCGCACCCTCCACCCACGCTCCTACGCTTGTGGCGCGGTGCGAGTCGAGGACGACGCCCTCACGAGGCATTTTCTATGGGCGCCGCACGGTGCTCCGGTACGGCGTCCGGGGTAGGCATCGCGTGTCTGCGATATTTGGGAGGGTGGGAGGAGGTGGGAGGGATGCCGGTGTGGATGAGATCCCGCGCCGTGGGCCCCGTGCGACAGCGACTTCGCGCGCTGCGCTTGTGGCGAAGGGAACACACCGGGGTGTGCCCGGAGAGCTCGACAGTTCGTGAGCCTGAGGCCTGCAGCAGTGCCGTACAGGGACTACACTCGTGCGTCGTCTAGTTCACACGCGGGCAGCGACAGATATCGGTCAGGGTGCTTTGACTTCGCGGTATTTGGAACGATCGTTTTTGTACGGAGGGGGGTGCTATTGTGTGTAAGAACTCGCAGTATACACTGGAAAAGGACACGATCTTACTTGCCTCGCATATCCCGAGACAGGCTTTCCCCCGAACAAAAACAGCCGGGAGAGCTCCGGTGTGAGCTCATGGTGCCATTAAGTGCCTCGTGTACCGCCGCAGCGTGCTCGAGAACCTGAATCGCACCTGCGAGGAACCACGGCTGCGCCACATAAGCTCGTCAGGCTCTCTGCCATCTTCGAGAAGTACACACCAGCAGGGGCCGCCTGTTACCGTCTCGCCCGGCCAACGTCGCACGCTCCTCCCCCTCCTAGCGAAACGCGCACCGGCACCGTCCCCACCGCCGCGTCACCACACGGCCGCGCGTCGAGTCAACGGAGCCACCGGCCAAGGCCCGCCGCCCTCTCGCCTCTGGGCAAACCGCCCGAAAGCTCTCACTGCTCACTGCTCAGAGCGAAAGGCCCGTGTGCGTTCGCGTCAGCAGTGCTGACTCGCGCGCGCCTGCCAGACGCCGTAAGGGGCCGGCTCGGCCGAGGGCTGCGCGGTTCGTACGTGTGCGGCTTGGTCAGCGCTTACTCATCGCACACTGCGTGCCCCCGAACCCGCCTCCGGTTTGTCGGGGCGCGCGCGCAGTAACCTTACTTGGCGTTGGCACGGTTCTGCGGGTTCTGACTCAGGCTGGGCGGTGCACGCGTATGTGTGTGTGTGTGATGTGTGTGGGCATGGCAATGATGTGTATTGCGAGTAGTAGTAGTAAAAAAATTGCTAGGGACAATGCGGGTGTGTGTGCGAGCTATAAGAGTAGTAATGATACAGTTGGGTTGTTGTTGCGATGAGCAGGAAGAAAAAAAAACGAAAAAGAACGAAAAGAACACATGAGCGTGATCTCTAATGGCACAGACAGATTAGACGAAAAAGTAAGTAAGCGGGCTAAGATAGCGATGAGTTACAACAGGCACATGCGATTAACTTTTTGGACCGTCGTCATGATGTCATGGCGCACCCGCACAGGCCCGCAGGGCCCTGCGGGAGACGCGTCAGGCAGAAGCACCGAAGGAGGAGGCTTCATGCCGCGACTATGGTCGCGGGGCACGCCGGTGCAACAGCCTTGTACCGCGGTATCGACGAGCTGCTGCTGCTCGTCGCGGACACGGGCGAGACGGACGCGAGCGAGGACGCTGACGAGGATGAGGACGACGAATGGTGGAAGTGTGGTATCGGAAACGAGCGCAGCATGTTGTGCAGCGCCGAGAAGCGGCGATGCGAGTGCGGTGGATGCGAGACGACCTCGACAGACTTCGCCTTTGCCGGTGTCGGGTGTGGCTCAGGGGCGGCCGCGGCGACGATGGGCTCGGGCGACGCTGAGATCGCGGCGACGTATGTCGGCTCGACGTCCGCGTGCGGCGGCGTGAGCGGCATTGGCGACTGCGAGGGCGACGTCGAGTGGTCCGAGTCCGAGTCTGTGCTGACGCTCCAGCGCGAGGGGAGCGACGGCGGCGGGGACGCCTTCCTGTGCGACCGATGGTGGTTGCGGGGCGTCGCGGGCTCAGACACGGTGTGGTGGGTGCGCAGGGCGAAACGCGCAGGCGCGACGATGGACATGATCGCGTCGTGGTGTGAGAGCAGGTCCGACTCGTGGAGGGTAAGCTCGTAGTCGAGGACATCGAGGAACTCGCGCTCGATGCGGCCGACGTCGCGCTTGCCAAAGACCCCAGTGCAGAGCGCCCAATGGACGTTCTTGAGCGTCGAGTCGTTTGTGTACTGGTAGGAGTAAAAAAGCGTATCAGCATGCTGTGTTGTATGTCCGAGATGCGATGCGGAACGAACCTTGTTCGCGAGTATGAGCGCGCCGAGGAATACACGCTCGCATGCCCACTGCTCGAGAGCAATTTGGAGATGCGGCTTCGCCCGGTCGATGTAGACGAGAGCGACGAGCAGGACCGGGACCTTGACCTCGGCCTTTGTGAGCAGGTTGTTGACAAAGTTGAGGAAGGTCGAGTGTTGTTGTTGCCGTGATGACGAGCGTCCACGAGAGGACGAGGGGCGACCCATGGCGTAATCGACCGTCTCGACCACACAGTCGACGACATATTCTAGACCGCGAGGGTAAATACGCGCCACAACAGGCCAGAACCATTGCGACTTACCGATTAGGGTGCGGGACATCTTTACATCCAACAACTCGAGCACTGCTGGTGAATGCAGAGCAGGATCGACGAGACTGGCCTCGTGCACTGGGGAGTAGCCACCCTGAACCATTGTATGCGAGGGGCGAGGGCGATAGACAGGGGAGGACGAGGCGGCTGAGAAAAGGCGAGGAGGAGCGAGGACAGAAAGCTGGAGGAGAGGGGGATAATATAGGGCAGCATCGCAGGCCGGGAAGGAGATCTGAGATGAGACGATTTGTGGGCGGAAGTGTTTAGGTGAGCGAGCGTTGGATGACTGCGACGGGACACGCAGGCAGG